ACTATAATATGCCTAAATGCCGAACAACAAAATGTGACACCATCAATTTTTTTTTTTGGTGAAATACTCTTATACCATCTTATAAACCAACTATATCTATTACCAAAAAATAATTACCTAATAGTAATCACAGCACTATTACAAATTATTTTATTTACAACCATTTTATATTGTAGAAAAAACCTAAACATTGAATAGCATTTAAATCCACTATAAAATAGTATATCAATGTAAAATAGTATGTATGGTTTTTAAACAGGCATTGATGAGCTCAATCGATTACGGTTTAAACCATGGTTTTTGAGTGTATCATAAAACTCAAACTATTAACGCTGAATGACGTATTTTCTAGAATATCAAAATACTTTACACCTGCAGTGAGGTAAATATTGTGTTTAACAAATATTAGCCCAAATGCTCAATCAAAGTTGTCACAGCGAGTGCTGGTCAGTAAGTACTCGTTATTTTTAGGATAGTTCCATCGATTTTGAATTATATTTTTACATTATTTATCATAAATACTATAAAATAAAACATTTCTTATTTTACTGTTTTTATTTACCACCCGAGCTCCCTTTATGTCAAACAACAAATATATAATTTTAACTTAAATGATAAATGTATATCATATAATCCCTTATAAAAAGAAATAAAATATCCAATTACCTACTTAAATATTTATTATTTAATATATTATTTATTATGTGAACAAAAATGTAATAAAAACATATTATCTTAACTTACTAACTTAATACCTATTTAATTTTTTTTTTTTTTTCTTAGTTATTACAATATTCATATAAGTGTGTTTATTTTAAAGGTAAAAAAGAAACGTTTTAGTGATGTATCCTGTATAGTATAATAGAATAAAAAGCTATGTAGTTAGTAGCTACGTAATTTAATTTTCGCCTATAGTTATACGACTACGACAAAGAATAAAACACGTTAAACGATTTCATAATTTGGATATAGATATCCCTGAAGTCCTAATAAATCATTTATAATAGCAGAAGTAGTGTATTTTTTTTATCTGTTGAGCAAATCTGATAGGAATAAAAATATTATAATTCATTCCACGTTTGTAAATTCATTGTTTTTCAAGTTTTCGTAATTTGAATTTTTTCTGAATTTAACGTCTCTGATTTCAAATGAATAAACTAAAAATTAAAAAATTAAAGGTTTATGTAAGGTTTTATCGTCATAATCTGTCTATTTTAATTCTTCAGTCATTAACGAAAAATGTGATATTAAGATTAAAATTATATTGAAATGTTTGCTCACCAAGACGATGGTAAGCTCTCTGTAGTTCAAACTTCACCAATGAAATGAAAATGCCAAAAAATCGTTTATCGGACAAGATATTAAACCTATTTATTTCTGCAGATATTTAATCATCAATACTATTACAGACCTATTTTGTTCCCGTTAACGAGCGATTAAATGAATGTACATCCGAAAGTAGATAAATGACAATAAGTAGTCGAAGTCTAATTGCTTTTACTAAGACTATATGCACTTGAAATAAACACAGCAGAAAATTTTACTAGTACAATATTTATATATCTATGGTTAAAATAGATGTATAATGTATAATGTATTATATTCGTCCCTGTGGACGGTTTCCCTCAACGAGGTCAGCTCGCTGAATATTATTATACCTGAGTTTGGTGTATATAGTATAATATACTACTGTATACACGAAGAAGAAAATCTTTCTGTGAAAAACATTAATATTCAAGTACTGCTTGGGATGTTATTTATTGCAGGTGGATGAAAGAATAAGAAAAGTAGTAAGCTTTCTAAATAAAAATGGCTACATAAATTTGATAAAGAAAGGAAATATAAAATATTTTAAAAGTACATATAAAGTGGCATAAAAAAAATAAAAAGATTACATTTTTATCAAATTCAGCCGGACTGTGCTTTGTCCGCCTGGCCGCCTATATAAATGATTACACATACACTTGAATTTATAAGAATTACGAAAGGATACCATCATGCTAAAGCCCGAAAGCCGTACTTGTGCAATCACAATATTATACAGATTAAAGATACATAATGAATAATGATTATTTCCATAGCTCATATTTTTAATTGAATGGGTTGGAATATAATATTCCTCACAAATAAATTAAAAATGATCGATATTACAATATTTTGTTTGATAAAAGGACATCACTTTGTTGTATAACATAAGGACTATTATACACATAATCACGAATTATATTATTATAATGACTACTTGTCAATAAATCTTTAATTCAATATTGTTCATCAATTGATTTGCATATTCAATAAGATTATTATTATTAACATTATAAATTATTTTTCAATTTCATATATTGGATTTCGTATTCCTGTCACAAATTTTATTTTTTGTAAGTACATTTGACTGCAAAGTGTGTAATTTGTATGCAAATATATTTTATTGAAAAAACTTGTAAAAAAAACATTAGTATATTGCTTTATCAACTAGAAATCAAAATGTTTTTTTTCCGAAATTTGCATATGCATTGTCAGCAACAACAACCCTTGCATATTAATTCGAAATGTATATTTTTAAAAGGTGTTTTACGTTGACAAATAATTTCAAACAAATATTTTATAGAAAGAAAACAAAGTTTTAATATGTAAAACATACTGAAATCAAAGCCTTAGTATTACACTAGGAGACGAGAGTGTTCATGGGTCCAAACTCTCTACCCCTAATGTATTTTAAGGTACACCTTGTTACACATAACCTATTATTTAATTTTTTTGATTTCAATAAATCTTAACGTCATAAAGTCAAAGCACCTAGATAGATTAAAACTGAATACTATATATTGAACTTGAAGGTAATTTTAAATATTAACACTTTACTATTACTAATCATATAATAATAACTATTAGTGATGGTTTATAATTATTATTTAGTATAATTTAATAAATTATAATATAATGTGAATAAAATTAGTATCTTGGCCAAGATATAGGTACACGTCTCTAATATTTTAATAAAGTAAATTAAAAATACTATTTATTACTATAACAGGTGTTTAACGATTAATCTAGTTTTGTCATTGTTATAGGTATCTTCCCTATACGTAGATTTTTTCAGATAATAATGGTATTTTACGAAAATTCTAGAGTCAATACCATTAAATCAGAATTAGATTTTGAATGCAAGTTTAAATTGCAATTATTTACAAAATATTTAATTTGTTTTACCTATTTATTTATTTATTTCCATTGCTTAAAATTGTAAATAAATCTGTCACGGTGATTAATGTTAAGTGATAACCTATCCAATTCCTTAATCTTATTTTATTATGTTTAATATTAAATATTATAGGTATAATCGTATCAATATCCCATATTATTATCTGTGCGTAGGTACGTGTTTTCTTTATTTTAACTGAGATGATATAGGTAGTCAAAAGTTTAAAAAAACCAACATAATACGCCTTATCAATATTATATCCAGTTGGTGTATTTTTGGTCATTATTTAGATTGATCATTTTATGTAAATATTGGCTACTTGAAATGCATAAAATATTTGAGTAACAGCAATCCAGAAATAAATTTAATTAAGATTCTAGATACCGGAAAATTTCAGAACAACATCATGCGGATCGACGTTTCAGCAACCCATCTAAGAGAAATCAATTTAATTGTAATTTCCTACTATATTATCCTATATTACCAGACATAAGATATTTTTTATCAACACTGGTGAATAGTTTTAAGTTTAATTTAGAATTTCTAAAATATGTGATTTCAGCCTTTTAGGGACCATTCCACTATCACTAAAGAACGCGTTTTAATTGTTCGAGGTCTTAGTAGATTGTGTTTTGTTTGATATTGGTCACAGTTGTTTTATTTATGGTATTGATAAACGGTATAACAACAAGTCCACACGTCGATGGTCGATCGAATTGAAATATTTCAACTTACGGTAATCTGTCGTATATCTCCAACAAATATATTTAAATATATTTTATTCAGCTAAAAGCCAAAAATCAATGATTATACATTGCATTATGTGGGTGCTTTGATTTGAATCCAGTTGACCAATTAAAAAGAAATTGATGTGGACCCCTTGTTGCATGATATCATATAGTCATATATATGATAATACAGTCTTTTTAAACATTTCGGCGACTTAGTTCTGACACCTTATAGACATTACATTAATACATTCTATTAAACAAATGAATAACAACAATTGTACAAAACGAAGTTAAAAATTAAATTCTGCGGGTTATTTTAAAAGAATAAAAAATATTATATAAGCTCAAAATTCTCGATATTGACCTATCATATTCACTGTAAGTATAATTTTTTTATTTATCAACATTCAACAGGTTTATTTTTTACGATTATCACAGACAAGAGACGTAGCACCGATATTTACCTATACAATCAGTATTTTCCCATTGTTTCCAACTGACAATATTCGAAGAAAGCGTTGCTTCTGATATTCAGCATCAATCATCATAGATCGTAAAACCAAAAATAAATACCTACTAAGTAGTTATAATTACTATTATAATATTATTCTCAAATCAGTGGAAGAGTATATAGCCCTAAAAGGTGACTACCATTTTTTTTTAATTTTAACATTCCTATTTCCAACATAACTTAGTAAATAAACTAAATATTACAATATGTTTTCAAGACTAAAATCAGAACATATTCTGAGTCACAACTATTGGAAGTTGTTCATTATTAATAATAATATATATGACATATACTTGGACAATTCTTGACATTTTATTAATATAACAAATAACGATAGGTAAAATAATAAAAATGTAAAAATTGTTTACATTTCAGAACTAGCCAGCCAACTAAGGGTGCTAAAATTTAAAAGAGATGCTCTATGCCCCCCATATATAGTTGCGCCAGTTCAGTCATTTTAATGTGATTTTACGATTGCTGGATGCCCACCACGGACTCGGTACAATAGTAAATTTGTATCGTTGCCTACGAGAAGTCAGAAGAACGAAGAACTTACCTTAACGACGACTAGAGGTTCGTCCGATTATATCGCAAAGGCAACGTGCAATATTCTCAAGCGGCGTCGTCCGCGAAAGTCAACAAGTACGGCGCGAAACACCGTGAGAACGTGTCTGAACGTGACTAAACTCGTACGCGGGAAATGTACTCGCGGTACGAAAACTTCACGATTCGCAGGACTGTCCCGCCGGGCGCGCAAAAACGCGGAACGGTACAGTACTACAGTCGTCCGGTAATTAACGCGACGCCGATCGGTCGCACTGTAACGACGACCGTGTTTGAGGTTATGACTTTTCATTTTCGTTACCGTCTTTTAGGCTTTTAGCGTATAGTAGGATTTCGATTTAAAACCTGTTGGCGAACCACTCTCGTAGTCTCGTCTGGCGTATAGTTGTATTTCGGTTTTCAGTATTTACCGACCGTCTCCGTTCAGCAGTTTGGATTTTCCACGTTACAGGAAAAGGAAACGTTCTCACAATGGCACCAAAGAAGTCCAAACGTAGCGCATCCGAATCTTCTTCCTCCGACTCCGGACCCGATGACGTAAGTCTATGTGACAGGCTGATGCGGTTGAAAATAAAACGCTGAATGTGGATGATGATGTGGAGGTGACTAAAAGTATTGATTGAAAACATATCAAGTACTCTGGGAACTTTCCACGGAAATTATTGCTTAAACACTGTGGTATGAAAGAAGTAGTCCAATGACTTCGGAAGGCCGACCGTATGGTACCTATTTCGCACAATCTTCTTGGCATGCATAAGACAATAATGTTATGATAACGGAGTATATTACCCCTGTTACCTTTTAGGAAAACTGATGTGGTCCTCATCCGCATGTGTTGTCTCTGCATTACAAACATTTATTACCCGTACTAGACAATTTGTATTCAGAAGAACCGATTTTGTATTGTGCATATATGTAGGTACTATCAAATTTTATGACAGGTAAAAATATTATCTGTGTTCACACTTCAGTTATTTTTTTGTTGATAATGTATAAGTATGGCATTATGGCAAGTGAAATTCGCTTTAAAATTAAAATTACGAGAACAAAAAACCACCCAGAGTACAGATAATATTCATACCTTTTTTAAAATGTTCTTCGGTGGTAACAAAATTTGTTTAAAAGCTGTATTTATTTATTTTCCCAACTAAAATTGTTTACAATACAGAAATATAATCTAAAGTAAAAGAAGGTGGCCACTTCCAAGCCAATGGCTGTGCAGAAGTGAGAGTTCATATTATTTTAGACTAGTATTAAATTAATATAATAATAATAACTTGTAAATAAAGTTTACATGATCAATCTTTCTCTCTATACTGCGTGTTTGTAAGATGGAGACAATGCATGACTACATCACACCTTTTTGAACAATAGAAATGTTGTTAAAAAAAACCTGTTTGCCCATAATTGTTCTCAATTATACTTATTTTTTAACTAGTTAGGTAGGTACTATGTAATACAGCATGCATACAAAATATGAATCACTAACTACTGTCTACCCTACACCTAAATGGTAAACTAACAAACCGATACACAATATCTACCAATTATACTATTACAAAATTGCGGTACTTCCTTGTTTTCTCTACTACCTTAGGTGTGTATTATCTCAACTCCTTTATAAAAAAATATAATTTATTTGTATTATATTGTTGACATTTAACTAATATTTTAAGCTAAGTATTATGTATTTATATAGGTAAAATAGAATTAGGTAAAAAGAATGTATACTTAAAAAACAACTTACAATTTCAAATTAAATTAAATGATCAGGTGAAAAATAATAAGTTAGGTACCTAATAATTGGTTAATATTTTTTTTTGTAGAGAAGGTAGGCTTGAAGATCCGTTAGAATCCTATCATATGGTTTTAATAATTCAGTGTTATGAACATTCCAACAATCTGAATAGATCATAGTATCTTCCTGAATGTTATTTTTGATCGCCGTAAGCAGGGTTCTTGTTTTTTCTGTCAGCCACAAATTGTGCATCAAAAACAAAATTAAGTTGTATATTACGATGATATAGATTACAACTGGGGATTATACATTTATAAGTAGATTCCTATGCGGAGGTAGTCAAGAGAACACGGAAGTACCAAATATTTCATAGATAAAACATTTTTATATATATTGATTATAAAAAACCAATACTTCTGAAAAGATCCTTTTTAGACATGAAACTACATAAGTCACCCTTAAACTTTATTTAGTACAACAATCAAACCAGAAAGATAATGTTTAAATAAGTTATAGCAAACTTGAAAGTAATACCTATAATAGTTACATAATATTATATTTCATATTGGTTCCTACTATATACAGTAAAATGTGTTTATAATGACAACAGTTATAGTAACATATCAGGTATTATGACTTTTAAAGAAAATAACCAGGAAAATATGCGTTTGCAAGTCTTATAATATGTTAAATTTTATCAGTTATTAGACCTATTTTCCTTGATCCCTTGAACGTCATTATAAACAATTTCTACTGTAATTTTAATATAATGTATTCATGCAAGTAACATTTTGAATGAATCTATTTATGATACTATGCCTTGCCTCATTTGAGTAATTTACTAATTCATAATCATTAATTACTAATCAAATTATTTTTAAATAATACAACATTATTTATTATATAGAATTACCTATAAGTATTAAATAATCGTAATAATGAATTTTAATATCTTAAATTAATTTGCTTTTAGAGAAATCCTCCTCCAAAGAAATCCAAACCTTCTGATAAAGGAAATTCCAAGAAAACCAGCTCAAATGAAGAAGAGCATTCTTTTGCATTAGATAAAAATCGATTCGTTAAAGTAAGGGAATTTCGTGGTAAACTTTTCATTGACATCCGTGAATTCTATGAGAAAAATGGAGAAACACTTCCTGGAAAAAAAGGTAAATAAAAAAAGTTCTATACTTCTAAATAAATTTGTCTGTTAAATTGTAATAATAAAATAAATTAACATATTAATATGTTTATAGGAATATCTTTATCTGTTGGTCAATGGAACAAACTGAAAGAGCAAATTGATGACATTCAGGAATCTGTTGAAAAATTGGGATAATTATTTAAATTTTTTAACATGGCAGACTTGTTTTTTTTTTATTTATTATAATATTAGTTTGTTTTAATGTACTATCTCATAATTAAGCACTAAGCGTTAAATTATAAACTGAACTATAATTTTGTACTTCATACTCCTAAAGTATTTTTATTTACCAAATATAATAAAAATTGCATTGATTCTTTGTTTTATTATTAAATTTGAATTTAAAAAAATTCAATTACTCATCATCAGAGCTAGGACATTAAAGAACCACACACACAATAAACTGTTTTCTTCAAAGTATTATTAAATTATAGTAGTTACAACTATAAAAAATGATTTGGTTCAAATCTAATATAAAAAGAAATGTTTAAGGAATGCAATTTAAATTTCCTATCTTATATGTTATATTGTGTGAAAGTTGCTCACTTTAAGCAATGATTTGTCCTTCTTAAAGTTGTATTCTTGTTGTTTGATTTGCAAATAAATGTGTGACATTTTGTGTTTAAGATGATAGAAGTATCAACATTTTATTTGAATGTTTGGTTGTTGTTTTTAATAATAAAAGAAAAAATAGCTGGTTGCACCATGTCATTTAAACATGGTAAATTTCAAAAACAAAATCTCTTCGTTTTGTAAAAAAAAATTTAAAAATTAGAAATAATGAAGAAAAAACAGGTAACGCTTTACTGTACATTAGGTGAGAGAGAGTCACTATAATGAATTTGTTCAATTTGAATTCAAAATCATTATATACAAAAAATTATTCTGAACAAAGATGAGATGTTAGCTTATAATATTACAAAGTAAATTTTGTGAAATCTCTGTGATTTAAGTTATTTATTATTTTACTAATAGGCATTAGGACTACATTAAGCAAAATTAATTGCATTTGAAAGTGTGATTGTTTATACTATTTATACAATAAAATAATGTGGACTATAAGTCTCAGGTACCCACTTTAACCCATACTTTTTTAATTACAATAAAATAACTGATATCTTTATTCTTGGTTTTAATATTATTATAATATTATGTAATTTCATCCAAATTTTTATTTACAATATGCGATATTAACGAGAATTCTTGTTTTTAATTTTCAATTCTTAGCTATGAAAATTTCTTATAATTTTTTAACTACAAAATAAATTTAAAATTTTTGAGATTATGATAAATGTTATCAAAATTTGAACCTATAACACTCATTGAAAAATCGTGCATATGGATCATAATATTTTTTAATTACTATTATAACTACACTTGAGGAATCTAGTATTACATTTTCAAACATTTTGACCTTAATATGAAAAAATGTTAATGCCATAAATAGAAGAAATATAGACATGGCTCGGATGTGTCAAAGCCAATTGTGTTTAGTATGCAATTTTGCAAGCAAGCCATAGTGTTGCATGTATTGTGCAGTGTGTTTTTATGGGTTATTTATTGACTGCACCTAACCAGTCACAGTCACATGAAACTCGGCAATTAATAATTATACCTTAAAAAAATTTGTAAAAACGGAATATTAAAATTAAGGCCTAATAACGTATCAACAGTAAAACCTATTAAAAATCCAATAATTACAAAACCCGTACAACCTTGGTGGTTTCCAAAGAATAATACACAAGTGGAAGATTTAAATAATATTATCTACATACTATTATTTTATAAAATAAATTACAATATCTATTATACTACGACTAACAACTTAACTCAATTTCTGTGGAGCTTACATTTTACAAACAAGTCAGTTGACTTTTGGAATGATTAGTAATTCAAGAACTTACCTTATAGCACAGTTGCTAGGCTCTGCCAAACATTGGATAGGTACAAGTGAACAGTGTTTGATGGTCGACTGGAGTACCTATCAATAATTCCTAAGCCGGATTTTACATTCGAATAATCATGCATGTTATCTGAATATTCGTTAAAACTTGATGGGTGAATGAAAAATCATCTAAAAATTTTAATATTGTTAAGGGTGTTGGAACTGGCTATTTGTTAAGGGGCCAATGGTAAGTAATTTCTATTTTTGGCTAGCGGGTGGCAATAACACTTAAACAGGCCTTAAAGGATAATCAAATTAAAATATTTTAACGATTTAAAATGAAAGCATATCGATCATTTAGAGTAATCAGATTTTTATTTTTATTTATTATTTGCAAAAGATTCAAATCACATTAGTCTCTGATTCTTTAATTAATTAACATTAATAACATCATAAAAATACTCAATAATTTGAGACTGTTTGTACGTTCATTACAATTTCTGTGAGTGGAGTTTTGAAAATCGAAGTCAATGCGGCTTGTGTAAAGCCATCATATTTCGAAAATAAAAATGTCCATATACAACTCAAACCACTTAAAATGTTTCAAATATTTTATCAAGTGTCTATAGAAATTGAAAAAATAAACACATGGATATGATGTAAATTTCAAGTGCCAACCTATACGGTTACTTGTTTTTGAATTACAACAAAATAAGAAAATCACCAATAGAAATCAATTGAACATCCAGTCTTGTAAATATTTTACATTATTTAACTTAAAATGCTCATAAAAGTTTAATTTAACTTTCCATTCAATATTTTTTTTTTTTATATTTCTAAATCTTAAAATAAAAATAAAAATGTTTATGAATTCCTAAAGCGAAATAATTTTTTGGTGAATTTTTTGAAAATATGAATTTCTGACTTACCTATATAATAAATTATTGTGGATTCTGAATTCAAGCTCAACTTTTTTTTTTAATTTCTACTAATAACAACTTACAAAGAAGTGAAGAACGTTGTATTATATTTTCAAGTTTTTTGACTGAGAGAAAATTTTTTTATCGACAATAATTTTAATACAACTAAAAAACTCTAAAGAGTTAGGTACACAAAATTGTGCTTGTTTTGGCAGAGGCAGAGTTGACCATGAGTATTTCAGATTTCTTCATATGTGGGGAATATGCCTGGTTCCATCCTGGTAATTTGGTCGTTATAATAGTACATTATTACTTATTGTTTTAATTAATTATATATTTAATACCTATTTAGGTAAGGTAATTATTACTATTTTCTAACTTCGTAAAGAATAAATATATTGATATAAATACCAGATATTACATTTTTCACTGCACTTCTATAGTTCTATGGGTCTACACTCTAAATTACGCATATAGATTAAATAAGGATCAAAATTTAGTTATAACTGAAGGGTGGGCGGGAATAACGTGCTATGTAACAGTTTTTTCAATTTTCATGTTTTTGCGGAATAATGTGCTATGAAGCAATCTCGATATATTTTAAGAATCGAAAAATTCCCAGAATGTTTTTATCGTACACAATCATCGTGTATATAATATGTACTTCGAAACCGGCGATTAGTTGACTATTAAAACGTGCTATGTGCGTTAAGCGTTTACTATTCACAGTAAGTCAATGCGAGACGTGCGAATATCACGATTGCGTTACCAATTTATCTATGACAAGTCTAAATAATTTATCTACTAGTGATGTTAACCGTTTAAGTGTTGGACAAAAACGGAAAATCAATATGACAGATTGGAAAAATGTAAAAAACAAAACTCTTCGAAATAGTGGGAAGGAATATACATCTCAGAGTAAAAAACTTGTACCAGCTAAAACACCTCCAACCGTGGTTAGTAAAAATGTTGTGAATGTAGTAAAATAAACATGATGTTGAAAAATATTTTATACACATTTTAAAAAATTTTAGGATCAAGTTTGTGACCAGAGTTCATGTCCTTGGCAAGGTTGCGCAACAATGACTTTAGCAAGAAAACTTTTATTATTTGACGAATTTTATAAGTTAACGTATGATGAACAATCAGCTTTTTTGTATAAGTGTATAAAAGTAAATGCTCCTGTGAGAAGACGACCAGGAAAAACAGATGCTACATCTCGACGATTTTGTTCATTTAAATATTACATAGATGATTTACAGGTATGCAAAAATACTCTTTTAAATACGTTTTGTATTACAAGAAGACGTGTTATGACGCTACAAGATAAAATTAAATTAGGTATTATGACACCTAGGGATAACCGTGGAAAACATTTAAATAGACCTCATGCTATTGATGCCCCTGTAAGAGATTTAATTAGACAACACATAAATAGTTTACCTCGACAACCGTCTCATTACAGCCGTATTGCTACAGATAACCTGCAATGTTTGAGTTCAGACTTAAATTTGTGTAAGCTTTATCGATCTTTTAAAAATAAATATCCAGATACAAAAGTCAGTAAATGTATCTATAGAAATATTTTTCGGTCAGACTTTAAATTACGTTTCGGCTATCCGCGTTCAGATACATGCAAACAGTGTGATTTTTTTTATAATAAATTAGTGGCAGCTGATACTGAGGAAGAAAGAAAAAAATAGAAACTGATAGTAAGTTGCATCATTCTAAAGCTGAGCAATCGTATGATGCCCTTAAAAAAGATACAGACATCGGTAGACTCAATAGCTCTATTGTAGTGCTATGCGTTGATCTACAGCAACTAGCAAGTATTATTTTGCCCAACTCTTACACATTCTAACATGTTTTATCAGAGACAACTTTCTAACTATAATTTAGCAATTCATAACGTAGGTAATAATGAAGTTCGAGTTCCTATGCATTTGTGGTATGAATGTATCGCTAAAAGAGGCTCATTAGAAATATCTTCGTGTATTTTAAATTATATCGAAAATAATTACGATATTCTTGGACATGGCGAAGAGAGGAAATTGATAATATGGTCTGATAGATGTGTCGGTCAAAATAATAACTGGCGAATATTAATCATGTATTCCTATCTAATATTTTGCAAGTATTTTATAGAAATTAATCAAAAATGTCTTTCGACTGGCCATAGTTTTTTACCATGTGACCGTGATTTCGCTTTAATTGAAAAACAAAAAAAAACAGCAAAAGTACTTGTACCGTCACAATGGAAATATGTTATAGCTAGTGCAAGATTAGAAAAACCATTTCGTATTATAGAAATGTCTCAAAATGATTTTAAAGATTTTTCTGCATTAGAGCAAGATATTACAAAAAAAT